TCCTGTAGGCTGCTTCGTCCCTGCCAGTGATGCGACCTATCACTGCGGTGTCGTCCGTGAACTTTAGGATGATGTTGTCTTTGTGAGAGGTGACACAGTCGTGGGTGAACAAGGAGTAGAGGATGGGACTGAGGACACATCCCTGTGGGGTGCCAGTGTTCGTAACTACACAGCTTGGGCTTTTTTTCCCCCTTGAACAGCAATTAATCAATTATTTTATTTTTTTTATTTACTCTTTGAATCTACTGTCTGTAGATTATTAGAAGGTTTGACATGTACTGAAAGACTTGCCTAGCTTAAGCGGCTCTCCCTCTACTACTACAATGTACATAAGAATTGTCTGGCTTTAACGCTGCAGGTTAAAGGTGCTTAAACCTCACACCTTCTCTTGCTCTCCCCAGCGTGTGCTTGTTTGGTGTCGTGGCTCTGGTAATCAGCTGGGTCTCTCTGGGGCTGGAGTTGGCCATCTCTGTGGTAAGTGCCTCCATCAGAGCATGATCCTGTTTTCCAGGTGGAACGTCACAGTTCTTTGCATATAATTGGACAGAGTTAATTGGGAATTAATACAATGTATTTCATATGTGGCACAATCAGAGATGGCAGAATATGGCGGTCTTTATTTTACATAAGCACTACATTTGACGAGTCAAATTACTGATAAAAATTGTAGTGAAATACAGTGAGTGATAAAAATTAGAAACGCATGTATGATGCTGTCCAGTATAGTTAATACTACTCCTAATTAAAATATTCTGTTTTTGTTGAAATAGCTACCTTAGTATTATTATTGTATTGCATCACATGACAAAATACAGAGCAGTTGTCTTTTAATGGTTACTCAGCATTTCCCAGAAATCCTTAAGTCTAATCATGGTTATTAAGACCTGTGATCAACAACTGGGATTAGCATTGTAGCCGTAATATTGCAGTCCGTGTTCACAGAAGGCCAAAGCAGCCAGTTTAGCTGCCTTATGGATGGGTAACACTGCTTAGGTTCAGGCTACAGTGACATAAATTCAACATTTTTGTATATAAACCTTTTTTATTAATTCAAACAGACATTTTAAAGTATATTTTCCGGGATGATGAAAAATGTTAATGAATGCAAATCTGTATTCATGTAAATGAAATATCAATGTGGAGGATTTCTTCCTCTGCAGATGAATCAGACTTCACACGTAAATGTCTTAATATAGTTTATGTGACTGCTCTCAGCTGAGACACAGTCAGCCTGTCACACTGTAAGACTGTTTATGTGCCTCCATGTCGGCAATAACCGAGGCTGGAGGCATTATGTTTTCAGGTTGTCTGTACAGCCCATGCTTGTGAACGCGATATCTCAGGAAGGCTTTGAGGGAAATTTTTTTTTTTCCAAATTTGGTAAAAGTGTCCACTTCGACCCAAGAATGAATTGAGATTTAGGTGGTCAAGGTCAGTGACCTCACGTCTGTCCATTCCTGTTAATTTGACTGGTTGGCGGAGGCATAGAACCACAAAGCGGTAATTCTACTTAAAGTTGCAATCATTTACTCACATCATAGATGACTGCATTTAGGATCATCTTGGTGAACGTGTTTTACTTTATTGTTGTTGAGATGAAGTAAAAAAAAAAAAAAGTCACTTCAGTTGTCTTTCTTCATTTAAGTTTTAATTATCTTGTTTTTCCAGTCCTCCAGTGACTTCTGTGTTGCTCCTAATACATATGTCACCAAAGTGGCAGACCAATATGGAGTCATCAGTCAAGGTATGAATCACATACACTTAAGTATCCTTCATATGTATGTTGTAAATAGTTGGCTTTATATTCACTCAGCTTACAGAATGGTGGATATTAGTCATTTATAATTGTAGAGGACATGTCAGCCTGTATTGTTTAATCTCCTCCTCCTTCCTGGTCTCAGTGCTCTGATTATTGTGCACCAGTGAGAGGATATTGTTCTCCGTCTTGTCCATGGCCCATAAAAAACCCTCTAAATTTACTGCAACATCTGCAGCAGGGTCAAAGGGGCAATAGGCTGCCCTACAAAGCAGTACAGAAGCCTGTCTAATGTGTCTCGTTTTAATAATTGCCCAATACGTCTCACGATGGGATGAGTGGAAGGAGAAAAAAAATTATAGTGCCCAGGGGTTGTGTGTTTAGAAGAGCACGGTGTATTAGTAAAGGAGATAAGAGCATTGGACAAGTGGTTCAGAGACGCCGTTTAACTGTTGTGCTGTGTAGTTCATTTGAACAATGAGCACCATCTTATTCTGTGCACTGTATTATGCTGTGTTATTACATCACAGGATTTGTTGTTTTACTCCCCTGGATGGCTGCTATATTTTTTTATGAATGTGCATCATTTCAACAGCCCTGATTCTTATTTTTCATTCCTCTGCTTTCTCCTCATTGTGTAGTTATGTCAGACACATGGTCTTAATCCAGATGAAGAGAGAGAGGTAATCTGTGCAGGTTGTCATTTTGCACCCATATGGTATTCTAATGGCCTCATTTGTAAAACAAATTATAGCAGCAGAGACTGGATGAGCTACATCCCTGATGTCTGGCAGCCAGTCGTTCTTCCTGTTTAGAAATCCTTTGATAACAAAATATTGTAAATACAACAGAGCATTCTGAAACTCCAGGGACTGGGATCAGGTTTGTTTTGACTCAGGTCAGGCCAAAATGTTTCACCAGGTAGGATAATGTGATGCCACACCTTGGTCTAATAAACAAGCTACAGTAACTTGTAATTGAAACCTGAAGGGATGGCTCACTGATGATCAATGTGATCATAAAACAGAAAAAATACTCCTCTTACCCATTGCATTGTAAGTGAAGCTTTATTCTGAGGTTTTATGACTGAGTCATGGAGCAGAACAAATATTTCATTTTCTGCTGTGTGGTAGAACAGTGGTAGAGTTCATAGAACTGACACCAAACCTAACTGAGCTCTATGATGAGGCATCAGTGTGTTTATACATTACCAGAAGTCAGACTCCAGGAAATCTGCTCCTCCTGATATTTGCGTGTGGGTGGATGTGGGAGAGTGGCTCGATTTGATATGTACGTCTCTGCACCAGAAATTCTCCTCCCATGCTTAGCTGTGTGGGAAAGAAGCTCCTGACACAGCAGTGTTTGTCGACGTCAGTTACACCATGTGTTAGGTCGGTGGTGGTATGTCTTCTCAGAGCTTGTATTTGTGGATATTGTTGTAGCTTATTAGTTGCACGCTCCCATATAAAGGATTTCTCATCTACTCCTACTCAGTGCTGTGGTAGACGTAACTGAAGTGGGTAATAATAGCATGTGAAAGTCTAAAACCTTAAACACAGTCTGCTTTGCTTCACGGTGTACGAAGCAACATACAAGTCTGGTCATGTCGTAATTTAACAATAACTCCACAGACGATGTAACTGCCGTTTGTGTTATACTTCAGCCTTTCACTGGCTGTGAAAGTGGCTGTGCTGTTGTTGCTGTGTCAAAGGAAAAACATTCACTCATGCTCTTACGACACGTGAACTTAATTCATTTGGAACTTGTTACCTCAGAGCTCCGGATTAGCTTAGCAGGCGCACAGTTACAGAAGCAATCGGACTATAACGGCAGCAGAGAGCACGACAAGAGAGCTATAAAATACAATGTCTTTTGGCCTCCTCCTTAGAACAAATCATTAGTGACTGAAGCAGGAAGTAAAACTCGTGGAGTGTGAAATAAGGGAAAGCAAAATTAAGACACTTAACTAACTTTTCTTTAAGTGACTGTAATTAATGTCCGCAGTTTTATAAATGCTTTATATTTACATTATTGTTAGTTGCAGCCCTCCGTGTGAGTTTGACTCTGTTGGCATATTTTGTTCTCTTCATTCTGTCCTTTTGCACACAGAAATCCTGCAGTACTACCTTAGTTGCAGTTCAGAACAGACCAACCCCTTCCAGCAGGTTTGTTGCATATATTTCCAGAGTTCATTCTGCTTGTTTATATATGTTAAATCAAACCAGTTTCCCCTTTTACAATTAATAGATTGTGTCTGGATAATAGTTGATGCTTATAATACTCATATCTCAGCAGCATATTCACTACATGATGTATGTGACCTTGTAATGTGTAAGAATTCAAGTGGGCACAGTGAGTCACTCCCATTGCCTCAAAGAAGGGACTTTTTTCTGTTCAACAGTACAATAGCTCCTATTCTGCCAGCAGCGGCTAATAGTATGCATCTGCTTTAAAGTGTGTGTTAGATGCTAGAGATGTTCTGCTAAAGTAGAATGTCACTTTTATTGTGAATCTAGTTTGCTTTAATGGACTACCTACGTTTTATCTTTCAAACTCTATGAATAAATCAAAACATCTGAGTGCTACTGAAGTCCAGGGATCTATTCTTAGAACAGCTAGAAAGAAAAGAAAGCTATATATAATAGCTGCAGTTGATATTCCGATGCCTTTGCTTTTTAAGTGCTGTATTGTGTCAAATTTATTTTATATGGATAAATTTGCCATTTTTGACCATCAGTCTACATTAACTTACCCAGAGACCTGTGTGCTGTGGTCAGGTGTGTCCTTTTTGCTTTAATTATTTATTTATTTTGTCTAGAACTTGATTGCAAATTGGATATAATTTAGAAAGGCACACACCTGTGTATATTCACACTGCACGTCAACACAGAAACCACAGGCCGTAAAGTCCGAGGAACTCTCTGTAGATCTCTGTGATAATACTGTGGTGAGGCATAGATCAAGGTGAGGGTATAAATCCATTTCTAAAGCTTTGAATTTTTCCAGTGGTGCTGTGGGCTCAATAACTGTGAAATGGTTCCTATGGTTTGTCTGACCAAACTGAGCAATCGATCAAGAATGACCTTGGTCAGGAAGGTGACCACAGAGCTTCAGAAGTCATCTGCAGAGGTGGGAGAACCTGTCAGAAGGACGACAAACTCAGCAGCCCTCCATCAATCAGGCCTTTATGGTAGAGCAGCTAGACAGAAACACTTTGAGTAAAAGACATACGACGGCTCACTTGGAGTTTGTCAAATAGCACTTAAAGGACTCTAAAAGCATGAAGAAAAATAATCTCTGGGGAGGCAGAAATTGAATCCTCTGGACAGAACTCCAAGCCAGGCACAGTGCTTATCACCCGTCTAACACCATCCCTGCAGTGAAGCATGGTAGCAGCAGCGTAATACTTCACAGTGTCAGGGGCAGGGAGACTGGTCAGAATTGAGGGAAAGATGAGTGCAGCCAACTATAGAGAGGTCCTTGAAGAAAACTTGCTCTAGAGTCTTGACCCAAGACTGGGATGACGGTTCACCTTTTGGCATGACTGTCCATGAGTGGCCCAGCCAAAGCCCAGACTTGAACCCTAGAGAATGTCTGTGGAGAGACTTGAAGGTGGCTGCTTACAGATGCTTCCCATCCAGTCTGATGGATAAACTGCTCTAATACAGGTGTGCAAAGTTTCTACAGATTTATCCAAGAAGAGTCAGAGCTGCAATTGTGGCCAGGGGCCTCTATGACAAACTGAATTGTCTAAATGCTTTAGTAAATGAGAGAATTCTGGTTTAGATTTTTAATAAATCTCCATGTTTTCCACTTTGTCTTTATGGTTTATTGAGTGCAGATTGATGGGCAAAGATTGCAGTTTTATCCACTCAAATTAAATGCTGAAAATAGGAGAAAGTCAAGTGATCTGCATACTCTCTGAAGCCACTGTATGCGTCAGTCTGTCAGTATGCTTTCACTAGATTTCTACTTGTAATGGTTAAACATACAGATACTGTTAAGATGTGCTGGGCTGCTACAGTATTTATATTCCATTTCAGAAGCTTTCCGGGAGCCACAAAGCATTAGTGGAAATGCAGGATGATGTGTCTGAACTGCTACACTCTGCCACCAGAGAATATAAACAAACTAAGGTATGTCTCCAGCCCCATCGATACAAGCTTTACGAGAAATGCCGCATTCCAGGCTAGCCTTTACCATAAACACCCTCCCCACACACACAGAAGTCACAAGCGATCTTGTGCTATCATATGTGGTGACAAAATATCCTAGTGAATGGAGCCAAAAGACTGACGTCCAGAGACATGAAGCACCACTGCCCTCATAAAGGTCTGCTGACGGTGTACCTGGGAGCTGCATTAGGCTTTGACTGGCCTTTGTCTATACAACAACTGTGGTATTGTCCCACATTGGTCTTTACATTTTATTGACAGCCACAAAAGAGATGTTGGGATAGAGAGGCATATTTCACTTCACGTGCCCACACAGAGAAATGTGTCAAGGCTGTGCAAACGTGTTCTACTAAAACAAAAACAGGAGGGAGAAGGAAGATGCTCTGTTAAAACATATCAGATATTGAATCGGCTTTTTCAGCTGGAGTAGATGTGTACAGCTGGATGATGGTGAAAGACATCCCTGATAAATGTGCATAAAATGAATAGTCAGTGAATTTATATAAGAGATTGGTATTTATTCTCCTGCTTCCTTTTTGTTCACCTTTATTTGTATTCACTTATTTTTGACAGTTTACAATAATTTAAGGTAGGAAATTACCACTCAGTTGCATTTTTGTCATGTAGACAGTGAGAAATGCACAAATTTATTTTGTTTTCCACTGTCTGTTGCATCAGTCCTGGTATCCAAGCATACAAAGCTGCCAAAGTTTGTTTCAGCAGTGTAATTATTATTATTTTATTTTTTCAGGAAAGTCTAGAAGAGATCCAGGGGATACTAAACACCACGGAGATCAGTCTACATCAGCTCACTGCATTGGTGGACTGTCGTAGCCTGCACATGGTGAGCTGGGAGGAGAAGACTTAACAAACTGAGATATTTTTAAGGGCACTGCACACAGGTGGCATGTGACATGCGTCAAAACACCCGCACGCATTATTTTCGGTGAAAGTTCACCACTTGTGTGAGGGCTGACACACATCACCGTTTCAGGATGTTATTGTCCCATATTGTCAACACACATCAAAACTATCAAATACTTAAATACTCAACCATTTTGGTGGTCCCATACTGAATTCACGCTGCTCCTGGTGTGTGTTACAGGAGTCGTGACGTGTCACATGACAAGCCACAACGCAGCGCTGCGGTGCCCTTTACTGTAGCTCTGCTCCAAGTCTGATGAAAAGGCCTGGGGATTCATTTGTTGTGACAATTTTTTAGTGTGTCTTAGTTGTGTAAAGCAAGCCCTCTTTTACACTTGTGCAACTAGTGTGCAAATGCAAGTGAGGTTTTTCCTTGTTGCTTATTTTATGACAATGGTAGTATCTTCAGTAGACTATGAAAAGTTTCTGCTGTGCAGTGTGTAGATAATGTAGACTCCCAGTTGTGATAACATGGAGTGCATTGCTTTTTTTCAAGCCAAGAGAAAACATGCATTGCCTTCCTTCTACAGTAGTTCACCAACTGTGAGCTTAAATGAGAAGTAACATCACATGGATCTTAAACACCCTCTTAGAATACACATGCTGAAATTTGAAAACTTTTTACCAAATCTCATGTGTTTCTTTGCACTGTCCTTCCTTATGGTTTTCAAACGTATACTCTGACCTGTGTGTCCATGCCACAATAAAACTGCCTGCCCATGTTGCAGGACTATGTCCAGGCTGTGACAGGTCTGTGTTATGATGGATTGGAAGGCCTCATCTACCTGGTACTCTTCTCCTTCGTCACCACTCTCATGTTCAGCTCGATTGTTTGCAGTGTGCCTCATACTTGGCGGGGCAAGCGGTAAGACGTCTGCTGCCATCCTGTTGTATACCCCCTTCTCACAGTCATGTAGGAACCAACATAAAAGCTTTTAAACCAAGTTTGTATTAGTTCTGTGTATACAGTGAGAAATAATATATGAGGGTTTAGCCTATCAATTAATTATGGTTATATAGCTTCTAACCCTCTTGCTTTTGGATGGCATGGAAGTAAAGCACACAAAGTGCTTCAGAAAAAAACATCTACACAGTTAGGGAAACATGACTATTTTTGCACAAGACTTGTGTGTGCTATTTAGAGAATGACTGTGTTTACCACTGGGACAAGTCCAGAAGGCTCTAGCTGCTTCTTCAAATAGATTACTTCCTGTTATCCCCCCTTAATTTTGCCGGGTTGGCCTACATCTAACATAACCATTGTCTGAGCTGGTGTAATTTTCTGCAGCAGAGGGGTGAAATTATCCTGATTTATTTGTTATTACCAGCAGATAAGGTTTGCAGAATGGCTACGAGGAGAGTGGTTTCCCAGGCACAGCCGTCAGTTCAGCTGCTCCGCATAATTAACTGGTCCTACTTTGGGGTCGTGTTGATCAGTGTGATCTCAGCTGGAGCTTCCTGTTATAAAGCAAATGCTTCTACGCTGCCAGTCTGTTTTTCTCAGTGGTCCCTGCTAAGTTCTACTATTATAAATCATATAATACTAATGTTTACTATTATAATTCATTTGACCCCATGTGAAATTACAGCTTGTAATAGCAGATTGTGAAGATTCATGCTTTGTATTGAGCCATAACATTTCTAGAGTTTTATTAGTATTATTAATTTGAGTCAATTTTAAATGCATATTTAGTTAAAATGTATTGTAAGATTTGATTCTGGGATATTATGGATGTGATCAGCCCATGATGTCAGTGTCACTGTCGCTCTGTTTTGACAGCCCCTGATCAGTGTATTGTTGTTTTCTCCCAAACACTGCTGAGCCTCATTGTTTGAAAAGAAGCAAGCAGAATCTCATTCTTTCTGCAAAAGTAGGCTGCTGCATTTATTAGACAATATGGAAATGAATTTCTTGTGGTGATACAAAATTAGAGCTTTTAATTTTCCAGTTACATCAGTCTGTTTTCACAGCCTTTGTTCGGTTCGTTTTGGGTCCATGGAAGAATGACTGTGATTCTGCTTCAGACAGCAGAGAATTCCTCTCTCCCTCAGGCAGACAGGACAGGGGGTCCCTCTGGTGGTGCTGGTTTTACAGTGTTTTGTTGTCTTTGCAGGAGTGAGGACAACAGTGATAATGAGTCTCTGAGTCATGGAGGTAGGCCGGGAGGACATGATAACTTGTACCGAGTGCACATGCCCAGCCTGTACAGCTGTGGCAGCAGCTACGGCAGCGAGACCTCCATCCCTGCTGCAGCCCACACTGTCAGCAATGCACCTGTCACTGAATACATGTACGTCACCGCTGCTTCAGACTTCTGTGAATCTGACTAGAAATCAGCACTAAGTGAAAGACCAGCATTGGTAGCTGATTCATTTTCATGTCATAGACTGGGGTCTGCTCAGTCTATTAGATACATCATGTACTCAGGAGCCAGTTTATATGTCCCCACAGAGATGCTCAGCTCTCCTATAGATCAGTGGTCCCCAACCCCCGGGCCGCGGACCGGTACCGGTCCGTGGATCAATTGGTACCGGGCCGCACAAGAAATCATTAATTATTTCCGTTTTATTTATTATCCGAGTCTGAACGATCTGTTATTGTGAAAAATGACCGCATTCTCTCGGTTACATTTTGGTCACTTGAGCGCCAAAACTGGCTTACTTGTGCGACATATTAAGCCTGCTCAGTGAACTCAATCTGTCACTTCAGGGGAAAATGACAACTGTCTTCACGTTGGCAGATAAAGTAGCTGCATTTAAAGCCAAACTGGATTTGTGGGGACGGCGCGTCAACAGAGGCATTTTGGACATGTTTCAAACATTAGCGGGGATTTTGGGTGAGACTGAGCCTGAGCCTTCATTCTCCCAGCTGGTGCACGATCACCTGTCTTTGCTTATAAAAGAGTTCGAGCGCTACTTCCCAACCACAAAGGACCCACGAACTGCCAAGGAAGGGATCCGCAACCAATTTGTCAACAAACCAGGTGAATCCAGCAGGTCTGTGCAACAAGAAGATCAACTGCTGGAGATCGCAAATGACGGCGGCCTTAAAAGTATGTTCGAGACAACAACTCTGTCGGTGTTCTGGATTAAAGTCATGACAGAATACCCTGAGATCGCCACCACAGCACTGAAAACCCTGTTGCCATTTCCGACATCCTATCTGTGTGAAGC